ACTGAGGGACTCAGGACATCTGAAAACACAGACAACTGAGTAATAAGAGACCCTTAAAATGGAAAAAGAAACGTCCCCAGTTTCTGCAGCCCTTGTTGCATCCCACCCGCAGCCCCTTCCATGCAAGTCCCATTTCAAATTCCTATAATCCCCTGCTCTCAATTAGCTCTCAACAAATCCCCACAAAACAGTGACCTGAGAAAGTTAAGGTCATTGAACCTCCCTCCATCCTTTCATACTCCCTCCAACACTCACAAAGGAATATTTCTGTGTCCATTAGGAACAGTGCCTTGCATCTAGTAGGCACTTAACCAATACTTATTAAATAGATCCAGAGAGCCAAACCCTTTCAAGCCCAAAGAAATGAAAAGCCCAAACAGGATCACAAATCACAGATTTTGAGCTGAAAGGGACCTTAGAGGTCACCTAGTACAAGCCTTTCATTTTACTGATGAGGAAACAGAGGACCAGAAAAGTTCAATGACTTGCCCAAGGTCACACAGCTAGTAAATGTCAGAAATGGATTTCAACTCCATATTCAGCATGCTTTTCATTGCACTAAGTGTAATTTCAGGCACTATGACAACCATGTAGGTAAGAAATTTGGAGTAGGGACCTACTAAGGACCCCTCAAATACTAACAGGTGCAGGGTTACCAGCTCTATAACGCCAGCCTTTCTTACCTTAAAAAGCTTCCCCTAGTCCAGGGTTTACCCAAACTCATAGTTTTGGCAATCCCTACTGCATCAGTGCTGACAGCTCCTCCAAGACGGCAGGATCCTTATGATACCTCAGACAAATCACTTACGTTTTCCGGCCTTCAGTTCTCTCATCTGCAAAATCAGGGACATAGACTAAATTATCTCAATATCCCTTCCAGTTCTTAATCCTGTGAGTTTGCATACCTGAGACACAGTGACCCCGGAATCATCATATCTACTCTCTTCCTTTTCCTCTTTTAGTAAAAGAAAGACCAGATATTGGAAGATTTTTCTAGGCTCAACTACTCTCCTACCAACGCTATTCTCCTTACATTATCCCATACGTTATTCTGTGAAAAAAATCATCATTCATCCCCACTTTTATGGTATGCCACCCAAGGACATCATTTTGGCAAAGCTGAGATCACCAGTTCATTTCAAGAAGACCATCCAGCCCATCTGCATCCCACCCTCCAGGACGTTCTTTGAGAATGTGACCATGTGCTGGGTGACTGGCTGGGGACAAACAGAGGAAGGCACACGTGAGGACAGTTGCAAAGATTATACTTGGTGACCCCTGCTCCTAGCCCCCTTGTACAACAGAGCCAGCTCCTCTCTCTCTCCCAAGTCAGACCATCCACTTTGTACCCACTACAAAGGAAATACTGCTTTTAATTTCCTATTGACACACTCTTTTGCTTTGTTTTCTTTGGCCCTTTGTTGATATACTTGGTTAATTCCATTTCCTCTCCTTCCTAATAGTAATAATGCCTCCCATTTGCACAACATGTTACAGTCTTCATGACTCATCTCTTTAGAAGCTGCAGCAAGTAGGTGAGACAGGTATGATCATCCCCATCCTACAGATGAGCAAACTGAGGCTGAGACATTAAATAGCTTATACCCAGGGTTCTGGGCAGTTAGGTGGTGGATAGATAAGTGGGTAGAGCCCTGGACCTGGAATCAGGAAGACCTGAGTTCAAATCCAGTCTCAGACACTTACTAGCTCTGTGATCCTGGGGAAGTCACTTAACCCTGTCTCCCTCAGTTTCTTCATCTGTAAAGTGAACTGGAGGAGGAAACGGCAAACCACCCCAGTGTCTTTGTCAAGAGGTTAAGTGGTGCAGTGGATAGAGCACTGGCCCTCGTGTCAGGAGGACCTGAGTTCAAATCAGGTCTCAAACACATAACTATGTGACTCTGGGTAAGTCACTTAACCCCAATTGCCTCACTTAAAAAAAAAAAAAAAAAGGAAACAAGGTCAGACATGACTGAAAACAAGTAAACAACACCCCAGGCTTCCAAAGCTAGCAAGTGTCGATAGATGAAGCTAGAATCCAGGGCTTCTTACCCTAGTCCCAGTCTTTTCCCCAGTGTCCCATACTGCATCTGTAAATGGAAGAACAGAACAGGTTTTCATAGTCAAAAACACTTCATTAATTAGCCCAGCCCAGAGAATTTCTGCTGTGTCAGGAAACTCAAGAGAAAGAGTTCAGTTCTCTTCAGGTTGTTACCACACAATAAAGAATCTGGGAGGAAATGCCTTCCTTTTGCAGAACACAGGGAAACTTGGAGACTCTGGATGACTGGATAAAAAGGGGAATGGGATGCTTTTCCAGCCCCGGTTGAATAGCAATGGAATATATTGTTTTGTTACTCCACCCATTTTGTTAAATCTCCAACAGTTTGCAAGATACCTGGGGCAGAGGGGGTGGAAGTGGGGGGAAGAAGGGGGACAGGACCTAAAGGCTTTGGAGAGATAATCTCTGACCTCAGGAAGCTCATTGTCTCACTGGGGAAGCCAAAACCCAAGCACGTGAAAATTTCAAATAGTAATAGAAAACAACACGTGGTAATTACCCAGGGTGTAGTCCTGAGGAAGTACTATAAGAAGAGATCACTGTGGGGTGAGACAGCCAGAGCAGACTCCTAGGCCAGGGGGGCTGACTTAAGGATAGACAGAATTTCAGTGAATGGAGAGGAAAGACAAGGATATTTCAGGCAGGAGAAACAACAGCATCGAGCAGCATTTCAGAGGAGATAACATGAATGGCATGAAAGGGGAAGTATGAAAATAGGTTTGGTTGGAAAATGACTTCATGCCTCGGGAGTGACCTGATAGAAAGCTAGAAGGACTAAGTGGAAGACCTGAGAATCTTATCCTCTACCTTCACTCTTTGGTTGGAAGTGCTGTGAACTCCCAGTAAATCTGAAGAGGCAACATTCAGTTCGATGGAAGGACAAAAATATATATTCTAGCCCTCCATCTAGATGAAGATTAGTTTGTCCAATGTTTTGAATTATATAGGCTACGTTAGCCTCCAGTGAGCATGCACATGGAAAGTTTGACTATCCTGTTTCTCAGCTCACTGACCCAGAGCAGGCCATCTTTATATTTACTATGTTCAGCTATTGTTCTTTATCCCTCACTCCAGATATAACCTTCTTTTTTCTTTGCTAAATCCTCAGCACTGAAGAAACCATGGCCCTTACAGGAGGCACAAGTGATCCTCATTGACCAAAAGACCTGTAACAACTACTTCCAGAGGGCACACCCTAATATTAAATTTCCTGTGATATTTGATGACATGACATGTGCTGGGTTTTCAGAAGGCAAGAAGGATACCTGCCAGGTAAAGTAGCCAACCAGGACCCATAATGGACGGTGTCCTTCTTTGCTTCCCCTTCAAGTCCCTTGTTTGGACTTAGGAGTCCTCTATTATCCTATACCTCTGAACGCTACCCCATAAGGTTCTAATCACCCTCTTACCGGGCTGACTCCATCTGTATTTCTCCAGGGTGATTCCGGGGGACCTTTGGTATGTAAAGTCAACGGGATCTGGCACCAGGCAGGGATTGCAAGCTGGGGAATAGGTTGTGGCCGCAAAAACCTTCCTGGTGTCTATACCAATGTCAGTATCTACACCAACTGGATCCAACAAGTAACTCAGTCCAAAAACTCCACTCAGTTTCCAACTGATGTCCTCCCCTTCCTTCTTTTCCTTCTTCTTCTCCTCCTTCACCCTCTCCTGCTGCACTAATCCAGGCTCCCTAAAACCACTCCTCATGAGTCCTGCTTAAGATTAGACAAGTATCTCCAGGATACCACTTAAGAGCTAGAGTGGAGATCCCAGGATGCTCAGGGCTGAGCACTTAAGCAAAGACCTTGCTTACTCCACTGAAAAGATCTTTGAAGGATATTGGAAGATTTTTCAGCCCCATGGCAAAGGAGGTAGAGTTCTAAGTGTGGGAAACGAGTGGGGATGTAGTCAGGGAGCCTCTCCACTCCTCTGTAGTTCCATGCGAGTACCAATCTGTCTAATAAGGATTGACTGTTTCAATAAAGGATTTGTTTTTCCCATGGTGATAATAATGTTTCCAACAATTCATCTCTTCGCGTTAGGCCTCAGAAATCATAACCAAGAGTTCACCCTTTAAAGAATAGAGCTGATAAATGAAAATTTCATTTCCAGAACCCAAACTCTAGCTTCCTAGGTCTTGCCCCAGGTTAGGAATTGAGTGTCCCACCTCAGGTTGTTTCTGTCCCTCACTCTACCTCTCTGGAATAAGAAACCCAGTCAAGTCTAAAGCAGGAAGGAATGTCCCATGGTTCCCTAAGGTAGATAGGCCACAATCATCATCCCCTGCTGATCCAAGCTTTACATACCTACACTTGTGACCTGGTTTCTCATTCTTCTCCTCTCACTTGCAAATAGTTGTCCAGGGAGTTGTTTCCAAAAGTCTCAGCGTTTCTCCCCCCTCTTTTAAGGACAGCTGGCTCCCCAGCTATGCCTAGATATGGGAAAGACCCCAGAAGACGGATCAAAAAGGGGGCCTTTTGAGTGAAGAAGCTGAAAGGCTTATGCAAGATGGGGGAAGGGTTATATAATGCAAGCACAAGATGATGATGGAATTTGAAGAATGGAATATTATGAAGGATGTGGGTATTTGTAGGAGGAGGAAATATAATGGCTTGTGAGAGGGAAAGTTGGAGTGAGGGGTAGAGGGAGGTGTCAGACAGGGTGGACAAGGCAGAAAGGAAAGCCATGAAATTTGAGCATCTTTGTATCTGGAGTCAAGGTTAGCAATCAGTCAGATGTCAGCTTGGTTTCTGGAATGAATAGTGAGTGTATAAACTCGGTTGGGTGTTGAGTTTGTAGCCAAGATTAGAGATTGTTCTGTAGCTGGAGTTAAGGGTCAATTTGAGGGTGGAGGTCAAACTAGGTTTGGGGCCAGGGTTAGTCACTATGTGGTTGTGGTTAAAGCTCAGTCTATGGTCACCTGAGTGTAATTTTGTGGCCTTAATAAGTTAGGTAGAATGAGTCTATAGTGGGGATTAAGGATTCAATTCGGGAGCCAAATAAGGGCCTAAGTCTAGGCCTAAGGTTAGGAGACTGGTTTGTGGCCAAAGACAAATGGTCAATATTGGCCTGTGCTTAGGAGATTAATCTGTGGCCAATTTAGGGAGTCAATTGAGGGCCAGGATTAGAGACTCACTCTAGAAGCCTAATATATTGGAAGGATTACATCTCAGTTGGTGATCAGGACTAAGGAATTATTTTGAGTTAAAAGGTCACACTTTAGCCAAAATTAGGAATCAGTCTGGGGTTAAGATTTGTCCTCATTTTGGGGTAGAGTTAAGAAACCTATCTGATGCCTAGAACTCAAGGTTATATCTGTCATCAGAATTAGGCACTATGCAAAGGACTGGGGTTTAGTCTCAGGTTGTTTTGGAATTGGTCTAAATCTGTGGTTAGTACTCATTTGGTGGCCAGTCTTAGGAGTTCAACCAGGAAGAGAGTCAGTCTGTGATTAGAGTAAGGATAGCATCTAATACTAGAGGCCTTAAGAAATTCAAGAGTCTGCTGACATGAAAGAGAACCCTGAAATGTTCTCAGATAGCAATCAAAATTGACAGCATTCATCAGACAAGAAAATAGTTGCAAAAACTGGGCCTGATCCACAAGGGTACATTCTCCCAACCAAAGGAGAGATAGATATTTCCGCAACCCCCATTTCTCTGTTTTACCCATACCTCATCTAACTCTCAAGTCTCAGATCTCAACAATCTCATCCCATACAGAAGAAATTTAAAAATGAAATTAATAGGAAATGCTTAGTAGAGTCATTAATGTACAATTACCCTAAAGCTATGAGCTGGCAAATATCTTCTCTCTTAAGTCATTTGCCTTAAAGTTATCCTGGATCCTTCAACAAACTTTTGATGCTCCAGCAGGGAATTTCTCTGTCTCCTGAAAGGGATGGAGCCTTCCATGAGGTTTATCATATACCTCTGACTCAGACTTCTGTCATACATAAGCAAAACACGTTCACCTAATGAGATTTCTGAATGCCCTCTCCTCTGGGATTTTCATAACAGTGCTCTCTCTTACTCTTCAGTCTCCTGTGTTAGATCATCATCTATGTTATGTCCTTTAATCTATCCTCTGGACCCTCTTCCCTTCTCTCTCTCTCTCTGTCTCTCTCTGCCTATCTCTCTGTCTGTCTCTGTCTCTGTCTGTCTCTCCCTCTCTCTTTCTCTGTGTCTGGCTGGCTGTCTGTCTCTCTCTCCCTCCCTCCCTCTCTGTCTCTCTGTCTCTCTCTCTCTCCCCTGCCTCTCCCTCTCTCTTTCCCTCTCTCTCTCTACCCTCCCTCTCTTCTCTCTCTCTCTCCCTTTCTGTCTTGCCTTTTCCTCTCTTACTTTCCCTTCCTTCTTCCTGTCTCTCTCTTCCTCCCTCCCTCTTTCTCCATGTTTCTTTTTGTCTGTTTTTATCTATGCATATCTCTCTCTGCACTTTCTCTTCCTCTCTTTCTCTCTCTCATTTTTTCCTCTCTCCCTCTTTCCTCCTTTCTGAAAGGGGAATGTCCAGGCAACTAGGAGATCCATCAAAGCTCTCACTGTCTACTTGAGTCAGTCACAGACTTTGAGTAGTAGAAGCTGACAAGAGAGGAAGTCCTTGCAGACAGAGGTGGAAGACAGTGCCCTGACGATGGCAGTAGCTTCAGAGACTGTGACACCTTATGGCAGAAAAAAAAATGTTTGCTATGGACTCTAAAAAGACGCTGATCCTGAGAGCCCCCCAAAAAGATACAGCTAGGACAACTTCAGCTAAGAACTCCATCAAGGAAGTAAAGCAATTCTGGGGTCAGAAGATGGGAGATACCCCTTTGCCACACATGCATATCTTACACATTGGTGCCCTTTCAATTCTTTACTGGTATTTGGGTTGGATTATTTACCAGTGTAGCAGGTTGAACTAGGTAATAAAGAAGCAAACAATTGGTTATAACATGAATTTTTTAGATAGATACAATCTAAAATGACCTATTCCACATCTCCAAGGGAGATTTATTTTCTTTGCTTAGAGTAGGATGATGGTCATGATTAGGCAATACCTCTTTCTCACTCCTGTATTCAAGAGGGGCATTGGACTAAAATTATATCTATCTTTTACACATCAGATATTTGCATTCAGGATTATGATGCTTTTAGGGGCTTCGGAACAAAAGCCTCTTTCCCTAGTTGCTTCAGATTGGAAATAGTAACAGCTTAATCTTGGCCAGTTTAGCTCTCCTCCCACCAAGTCTTTTTTGCAAGCAAATTGCAAGCAAATATATATAAAATAAGCAGTAAAAAAAAGATGTACTCCCATTGGTTCTAATTCTTCTTTACAACGTGACTAATGTGAAAATGTTTATTATGAATGTATATATAGAGCCTATATCAGAATGCACGCAGCTTGGGAAGGGGGAAAAGAAGGGAGGGGGAGAAAATTTAGAACTCAAAATCTTATGGAAGTGAATGTTGAAAACTAAAAATTAATTAATTAATTTTTTTAAAAAAAATATGCAACCTGGGCTTAAAAAAAATAAAATGCGATGGTTGGATTGTAGAAAAAAAAAACTAGGCAGTTCTAACATGGAGATGACCTTGTGGGGCCTTTTTGTTTTCTATAATCCAACCCTCACATTTTATTTTTTTTATTTTTTATTAATTTATTTTGATTTATCAACAATCTTTTCCATAAGCTTTTTGAGTTTTAAATTTTTCTCCCCCTCCCTCCCCAAGATGGTATGCAATCTGATATAGGCTACACATATACATTCCTATTAAACATATTTTCACATTAGTCATGTTGTAAGGAAGAATTAGAACCAATAGAAGGAACCACAAGAAAGAAGAAATAAAACAAAACAGAAAAAAAAAAAGAGCAAATAGCATGCTTCAATCTGCATTCAAACTCCTGGTTCTGCTCATTTCACTCAACATCAGTCCATGCAAATCTTTCCAGGTTTTTCTGAAGTCTGCCTGCTCATTATTTCTTATAGCACAATAGTATTCCATTACATTCATGTACCACAACTTGTTCAGTCATTCCCCAACTGATGGGCAGCATCCCCAGTTTGCCTAACATCAAGCCCTCTGTGTCTCCTGCCACAAGAGTGGGGGTAACCACCTTTGATTGGCTGCTTGCATCTTTAAAGTTGGTGAGACAGAGTCTTTCACCCTCTTTTACCCTGTCTTTTAGACTATTCTTTTCGGTAGCTCATCAGCTGCAGCCAGTATGTATACCATGAACCAAACCAGTGAGAAAGGAAGGAACAAAAACACTTTTTCCTTGCTCTTCCTCTTTTTGCCCTAGCTCAAGACACAGGTCTGGTGATGTTTGTTTCTGTTCTGGATGGTTTGTCTTTAGTTTTAGGTGTTGAGGGTGATCCCCAAGGGATCAGGAGTCTGAGCCATGGTAATGTGGGAGCCAGGATTGCAGGTTTGGTGGTGTGGCCAGCCCTCCTGACATCTTAACTCTGAGAAGCCAGGGTGCCTGGGACTCAAGTCTGCAGGGGAGGGGAGAGTTAGACTTGGATCTGAAATAGGTACTAAACTAGGAACCTAATCCTCTTCCCCTCCCCAGAGACCGAGGTGGTGAAGGGGAGGAGAATTATGCCTCCTACAAATTCGGGAAGTTTGAATAATTGTGATTATACCTTCGGAAGTAAATATTCCTTTGTAAAAAAAAAAAAAAGCTCCTATGTTACACAGAAATTGGGGGAGTCACACTGATTAGCTTAAATAATAGAATATACAAGAATAAAGGGTCTCTATAACTGTGTAGTTCAGATAAGGAAAGAATAATCCCACCCTGAGATGTCCTATTTTAGCAGGCCTGGGAATCAAGGGCATTTGGGGGTATCAGTTTTACCCACATGCCTCTGGCTCTGGGGACGTCTTCTGTTCATTATTCGAAGTCCATGCCTTCTCTCCTTCTGCACTTTTCTCTCTTTTTCTCAATCCTAAATCATGTCTTGAATGCACACCACATCCCATCCCAAGGACACCAGAGGCCCTGTCAGAGAAGGGAATGGGAAAGTCAGTGAGGAGTAGATTTATAGATTGTCAGAGGATCTTTCACAGTCTTCTAATACACCATCAATGCCCTTAGGACAGTCTTGTGAGGTAGGTAATGCAAGTATTATTATCCCCATTTCACACATAAGAAAACTAAGCCTTGGCTGTGGTTACCCAGATAACAGGTTTCAGAGCTAGAGTTCAACCCAAAAAATCCTAAATCCATGTCTTTTTCCTTTAATCCAAGCTATTAGCTCATAAAACTGTGTATTGGCAAGTATATTTGTCATCTATTCCAATTCATGTCCTTTCCAGTCCTTCAGGACATTACCTCCTGGGATTGGGGGGTGGAGGGGGTAATCAGGAAGGCTTAGTCCCTCCTGTGTGAGGGCTTACCAATCCCTTTACAGGACAGCTCATTGACCTTTGGTGTCTACCTGGCCCTCAACTCTCACCTGTGGCTCCAAGAAGCTTCAGCATGCACGGTGGCCACACCCCAGTAAATGGTCTGGGCAGACGTGCTAAAACCAGGTTAAGGGAAACCTATGGGCCTCATACCCATCAGTGACTTAGGGGGGTGTCTATCCCAAACATGGGAATATATACCCCAGAGCAACTTGTTTTAATGGCCACAAAGGCAGCTGACACAGGCACCGTGGAGCACTCAAAACATGGTGAGATATCAAAGACACCAAGGTGATCCAGTGAATCCCAGGCAGTGGCCAGTTGTCCTGACTTTTATCTTGTCACTGGACTTCAAAGAGAGAGTGAGGCTGATGACCTGGTGCAACTCTGCCTCACTTAAATCCAATTCGTTCACAAGTCAAGACATTTCCCCACGCTGTTACTGGTCCTCTACAAAAGCAAAGGACAAATAACAACAGCAACCACCCCATCTGCTCTGCCCAGAGAATCTCCTGGGCTTCTCATAGTGCTGGGGTTCCTCCCAGAAGGCCTGCTGTACTCTGACCCCTCTGCTTTCTGTAGGAAGCACAGGACACCTTCACTCAGGTTTTTCTCATCCAGTCTGAGCCTCAGTCTCAAAAGTGACCAGTTTGCCTGACACTGCTATGAGTTTCCTCAGCTCTGTCCTTCATCAGCCTCTGATAAGAGATACCTTCCTCCCTTCCTTCCTTTTCCCTTATCCCTCCCACCCTTCACAAATCCTGTTGAATTCTAAATCTAAACCATTCAGACTGTTCATTGTAAGGGCTGACACTAGAAGGCCACCTCCCTAGCAACAAGGAAGAGAATGGGAGACATACTTACAGGTTGCTAAAGGGACTTTAAAAATCTTAACTCTTTTTCTATCATGGACCCCTTTAACAGTCTAGTGAAGCCTGTGGACAGCTGTGAATAATATTTTTAAATGCATACAGTAAGATACATAGGACTACAAAGGAAGAAGGAAGAGAAACAAACATTTATTAAGTGCCTACTGTATGCCAAGCATGGTGCTAAGCATTTTACAAATATTATCTCATTTGATCTTCACAACAACCCTGGGAAGTAGGTGCAATTATAATTCTCATTTTGCAGAAAACTGAGGCAAGCAGAGGTTAAATGACATGTCTAGCATCACACAGCTAGTAAGTAACTGAGGCTGGTTTTGAACTCTGGTCTTCATGACTCCAGGACCAGCACTTTCTCCACTTCAACATCTAAAAACTCCTGATCTTGTTCGATTGTTGCTGTTCAGTCATTTCAGTAGTGTCTGACTCTTCATGACCCCATCTGGGGTTTTTCTGGCAAAGATACTGAAGTGGTTTGCCATTTCTTTCTCTAGCTCATTTTACAGATGAGGAAACTGAGGCAAACAAAGTTAAGTGACTTGTCCAGGATCTCATAACTAGTAAGTGACTGGGGCTGGATTTGAACTCAGGTTTTCCTGTCTCTAGGCCCAGTGCTTTTATCTGTTGAGGTTTAGAGGTGCTGGGACCCCAAAATAGTAACACACGGATCCCACCTCAAATGAATTCAACCCAAGCCTTTTTTCAGCCAAAGATAAGTTTTATTAAAACACTGATAGAGAGTGGGCATGAGTCTAACAATCCACCATATCGGCCAGACTTTTAAGGAATCTGAGCATTTGTACCGCTAATGCAATCCGGCCAGATTGAATCTGAGCACCTTAATGGTGGCCAAGACAGATCTTTCACTCCAATATCTTGCCTCCACTTCCAAGATGGATCTCATATACAGAAAGACTGGGGGAGGGATCTAGGAGTGGCCAAGTAGTCTGGGGTGACTGGGAGATAACAGAGAATGCCAGGGACCACGACCACGTGTCCAAGGGAGAATGAAGTCTATATAGGATTAAGAGTGGGCAAGAATCTAAGACAACTCCAAAAGACTCACGATGGAAATTGCTATCCACACCCCGAGGAGGAAATATGGAGTCTGAATGCAGATGGAAGCATACTATTTGTTCTCCTTTTCTTCTGCTGTTTTGTTTTATTGCTTCATTCTTGTGGTTCCTCCCATTAGTTCTAATTGTTCTTTACATAGTGACTAATGGGAAAATATGCTTAATATGAATGTATATGTAGAGCTTATATCAGATTGTACATCTTCTTGGGAGGGGTGAAAATTTAAAACTCAAAATCTTACGGAAGTGAAAGTTGAAAACTAAAAGTAAATATATTAATAAAAAAAGATTAAAGGTGGGAAGTCAAAGGACAAAATGGGGATGTTGAGGTTTAGGGGTGCTGGGACCCCAAAATCACAACACACGGATTTTGCCTGAAAGAATTCAACCCAAGCCTTCTTTCAGCCAAAGACAAGGTTTATTAGAACATCCATCATATTGGGCAGACTCTTTAGGAGTCTAAATGTTAGTGAGTTATTGGTTAGCTTTTAAGAATCCAAGCACCTTAATGAAGACAAGATGGACCTTATATACAGAAAGACTGTGGGAGGGATCTAGGAGTGGCCAAGTAGTTTGGGGTGACTGGAGGAGGGGTGTAAGGAAGATCCGAATGGGAGTGGCCAGTAAACTGGGGTTAACAGAACATCTGGGACCTGGACCACGTGGCCAAGGGAGAATGGAGCCTAGCTAGGATTAAGGGTGGGAAATGACCAGGGGCCATTGGGAGGTAAAACAATGGAGGGCTAGGTTAGGTTAAGGGTAACATAATTAGGCGATTAGCCACAATGAAAGGCCAGTTGATGGGATTATAGACTCAGGGGAAAGCCAGAGATTTGGCCACATGGGAAAGTCCAGGGCTTTTCCTTTTCAGGGTCCACATCCCAAAAACAAAGTCTTTTCCTTTTAGGGGTTCAGATCCCATCCCCATCATATTCACCTCAACACCTAGCTGTCCTATCTAGTCTAATACTCATCTTACAGAAGACGAAACTGAGATCCAAGTGACTTGTCCAAGGTCACACAACTAGCAAGTGACAGAGCCAGAACACCAAACAGCATGTGCTTGCTCTCATCCAGAGTTTCTCCCAAGATGTCAGGAGATACAAACCTAGCAAAAGGAAGAGCTCAGGCAGGATAATCACTTCACAAGCAGCTCCTGCAAGGCTGAAGAAACATAAAAGGACTGAGAATGTAAATAACAATAATTATAACAGTTCTGTAGCACTATGTACCAGGCACCTTCCTAAGCACTTTACAATTATCTCATTTGATCCTCAAAACTATCCTGGGAGGGAGCAGCTATTATTATTCCCATTCTACAGGTGAGCAAACTGAGACAAACAGGAAGTGATTTGCCCTAGTAGAAGGGAGGTCAGAGCTCAGAGCTGAAGCCCAAACCTCGGTTCCTCTCCAGTAGGCCCATGCCACAGAAGTGCTGATAGAGCTACCTCCCCCAACCCAGAAGATAGCCTTTGGTTTTCCCTCCTCCCAGCAGTTATTACAATACTCCTGTTTCCAGGGCGGGCCAGACTAACGCCTCAGGCATCCCTAGGGTCTCAGTAACTTTTCTCACCCCTCCCGTCCCCCGGCCAGCTCCACCCACTTTCCCCAGGGTTCAAGGTCAAATTGCTTTATTGTCCCCTGAGGGAGGCATCCCTCTTCCAACCACCCACAAGAAGTCACTAAGATTTTACTAGTACAGTTAACATAATTTCCATAAACAGTAGGTGGAGGTGGCTGTAGTAGTTTGTCCTACATTCCCCAGGAGAGGATTTTGACGTCAGGGAGGTGATGCCATGCCTTGCAAATGAATTGGATTTAAGTGAGGGAGGGCTGTGCAAAGTCACCAGTTTCACTTTCTCCTCCAGAGCCACGTGGGTCCAGTGGCCAGGTACAGATCAGGACGACTGGAGATGGCCCAGGATGCAGTGGGAGGCCTTGGCCTTTTTAAGCTAAGGTCTTTCCCAGGCCTTAGTTTGTCTGAGGCAACCCCCAGTAAGGGTAGGTGGAAGAGGAAGAAAAAAAAGACCAATCAAATGTTTTTTAAAATATACAGAAGAATAAATAAATAAATAAAATAAAATAAAATACTCAGAAGAGGGCCAGCTAGGTGGTACAGTGGGTAGAGTAGTGCCCCTGGAGTCAGGAGGACCTGAGTTCAAGTGTGGCCTCGGACACATAACACTTCCTAGCTGTGTAACTCTGGGCAAATCACTTAGCCCCAATTGCCATCCCCCCCCCCAAAAAAAAACCCCACATAAAATACACAGAAGGAAACAAAAAGTTTCCAGAAGAGGACACAAAAAGGGCAATTTTTAAATTACCCTGTTAAATATATATATAGTTTACAATTATATATAATGTATTGTAATAGATATAATATATTTATAATTGATCGTTACATATACATATTGTAAAAGTTATGAAAATCGTGAAAGTAGGATGGTTCACGACCTTACTAACCACCTGAATTTGCTTAGCTTCTTTACTATCCAGAGAAAGCGGAACTGACCCGAGAATCGGAATCCTCTAATCAGGAGGCAGACTGAGCAACCCTGAAGCCGGACACACTCGAGATCCTCGCTGGGTTTGCTGAGCCAGAACTTCATCCAAAAGGACAATTACTGATCATGCAAGTCTCCTTATCCTGATGAGCCCCCATCCAAGCTGAAATGAATTTAATCTAATGCAGGGGAAGCTCACTGTTTGGGTGGGGACAGATTTCCTTTTGTCTGGATAGCCCAGATTGGGAGCGGGGAGGGTTCTGATAGAAGGGGTATTTCCATGGAATGACTTCGGCTCCTGTGGGAAGGGGCTCCAACCCCAAAGGGAGCTCAACCTTTGCCTGTAGGTCCGCTTGCATGCAAGCCACCATCATGAGAGAAAATAAAACATGCAGACCACTTAATTTCTTTGTCTTTCTTAGATGAAACTCTGTTGGCTGACAATATAGAATGATAATATTATACAATGTGTATATAATGATATATTATCATTATATACATTATATTATATATAATATATTATCATATATAATATATGCAATAGTGGATATATAATACATGAATGGATATTTATTATATGTTTACTTTTAAATATGTTTTATATATGTATACTGGATAAAACGAGTTCTTGGCTTCATATGCAAGCCTCCTTGTTCATTCTTGAACATTAAAATGCTAGTGTTTGTTGATGATTACGTTCCTAATAAAAATTAAAATCCGGGGGGAATCCAGAGGGGCCTCGGGCAGCTAGGGAAGCCCAGACATGAAGCCTAGACACAGGAAGGGGAGGGAGGAAGGGAAGGTCAGGAGGGCAGACAGACCCCTCCCCCGCCTCCTTGGCGTCGCCAGCCTCCCTACGAGACTCCGGTTGCTATGCAGCAGGGGGAGGAAGAGGAAGCCACTGGGGGAAGATCCCAGTAGTCTGCCCCCAGAAGGCCGAGCAGAGACTGTGACTGCCAGAGCCGAGAGTCCTGCCCCTCCCAAGCTGGAAGACCATGTGCTGGGCCAGCCTAGCCCTCCTGCTACCCCTTCTAGTTGGGGCCCAGGGATACAGTGAGGCCAGAAGGGCACCAGCCCTGGGGGGGTGGGGCTGAGGGTGGGGATGTCTGATCAGGGATGGGACAGCACAGGAGGTGCAGAGGGAGGGGATGCTGAGAACCAGGATGAAGTTGGGGGGGGGGTAAGAGGAGGAGGGGTATTGGATGCCAGCCTATGAAAATGCTAAAATTCCCAGGTTAATCTCCCCAAAGGTTCATCTTCTCTCCCTGTTTTCCTCCCTCAGATATTAAAGGGTTAAATATGAAGGACGGTAAGTCACCCATCCACTGGGGGGTGGGGTACAGCCTAAAGAAGGAGACATAGGCATGGGTGGTACATCTGAGGCCAAGCTTGGAGTGGAAGTAATATTATATATGGGCAGAATGCCTGAATCGCTCCAATCTCCTTTGCCTCTCCTCAAAGTCTGTGGACGACCCCAAGTCTCAGAGCAAATCCTTGAGGGCCAGGACACATCCCTGCTCAGGTGGCCGTGGCAGGCGAGGCTCGTCTATAAGACCAGCTATTGGTGCGGGGCCACCCTCATCTCCCCAAGCTGGGTGCTAACAGCTGCCCACTGCTTCCACAAGTAAGTGCCCATGTTGGCCAGGGGGAGGTAAATGGAGCTGCAGGATCACACTCAAGGCAGGGGGGAGAGGACAGGGGAATAGAGAGAGAGTCCCAATAACTCTCTTGTCTCTGGATCTGATGCCCATGCCTACATTCCCCCATTCCCCAGGCCCTATCTCCTGCACTTAGAAACTCTGCACATCTGAACTGAACTAATTGTCGCCCAATTGTAACACCAGAGGTTCCTAAGTATAAAAACAGGACCTGACATCCTCTAAAAAGTCCACAAGACCAGAATGAGCCATTCCTTTGGACTTTTACCCTAAGAATATTCTCCTAGCTTCAGGGACATTCACTGCTCTCCAACTCCCCCTGCCACTCCCATCCTCAGCAACAAAGCCCCCCAAACTCAGCAGCTTCAGAGGCCATCACAACCTCTCTTGCTCTTCTCTACAGTCAAACAAAAAATCCCCAGTTCTGGAAGGTCCAACTGGGATCCAAGAAAATCAGGCCCAATCAGCTAAATGAGAACCAGTTTTACACTCGACCTTTGTCAAAAATCATCCTATACCCTCACTATAAAAGACATCCATCCAAGGACATCGCTCTGGCAAAGATGAGCTCCCCAATACTCTTCACGAAGACTATCAAGCCCATTTGTCTTCCAACTTCCTTGAGAGAGTTTCAGAATGTGACCTCCTGCTGGGTGACCGGCTGGGGAAGAAAACTGGACAGACAATGTGAGAATGAATAAGAGGGACTATTATTAAGAATAAAACCTAGTATTTCTACAGATCCTTACAAAGCACCTTCACTGCCCTTATCTCATTTGAGCCTGTGGTAAACAACCTAAGAAACTGAGACCCGGAGGGCTTCCATAGCTTTTATTCAGAGTCCTAAAGGTAGTAAAGGGGAGAACAGTGAGGATCAGATGGACCAGAAGTTACCATGAGAACAAAGTTTCACTATAAGAGGAAGGACAGAAGGGATAAAATAGAAAGCTAGGAGATTGTGATTAGAGAGAAATGTGAGAGTTCAAGGTCATGGAGGTGGCACCATAAGGGTGTGGATGATGGTAAAATCTCAGGTGTGGCCACCCTAGGAGAATGGAGATATATAAATATTTTGGGAAGGGGTGGTGGTGATAAGAGGAACCCCCTAGTCTGCTGGATTGGGGTATCTCCCATAGAATTGGACATGTGCTCCTAAATATGAGGACATTAGAGCAGACTTTTACCATTCTGGTGAGGTTTGCTTGTTAGATATTAATAGGTATTAATTACATATTAATAATCCTGCAAAAGGATGTTGGCATTTTGTTTTATGCATTTAAAAATATGATTCTAGGCTTCACCAGACTGCTAAAGTCCATGATACACAAAAAAAGTTAAGAAACTCTTCTCTCAATAAAATAGAAAAGAAAGTTGATTTGCACAGTACTTTATGTTATTTAGACCATTCTACCCTTTTGTGAACACTGAAGATCCAGGTTTTCCCATTTAATTTCTTGGCTCCCCTCCATAGAGTCAAGTACTTCTGCATCTTATTTGTAGTATTTCCTCCTTTCCTTCCCTAATACCAACTATGATTTTCCCTTCTTTTCCCACATCATTAGGGTTGAAGGGACAAAGCGGCCTGCAGGAAATAGAAGTGCCCCTCATTGACCAAAAGACCTGTGACATCTATTATCATGAGAAATTAAGCACCCCAAGTCAGGTGGGCCTAGTATTTGATGACATGTTCTGTGCTGGCTCTTCAAGTGGCAAGAAAGAGATGTGCCAGGTGAGGTGTCCCAATTAGATTAAAAAAAATTTGATTCTGCTTAACCTCTCCAAATTCCCACTGGGATTCCTAAATCAGACCCAGGAGTCTCCCTATGGCCCCAACTACCACCACCACATATTCTAGGTCCTTTTCCCTCTCAGCTCAACCCTATGAACTTTTTTTTTAAACTACACCCATCCCCTCATCTGTCTCATTCCCTTTATCTTCTTCTAGGGTGACTCTGGAGGGCCCTTGTCCTGTAAAGTTAATGGTACGTGGAGTCAGGCTGGGATTGTGATCTGGAAACTAGGTTGTGACCTTGCTAACCTGCCTGGTGTCTACACCAATGTCAGCATCTACACCCCCTGGATCCTAAAGACCATCAACTCAAGTACCCCTGACATCTGTCCCTCAGGGATCTTCTGCACCTTCCCACTGCTACTACCTTGGGTTTTCTTAGGCCCCTTTACTTCATCTCTCATGCATCCCAGTCAAGGTTTGGCAAGTGTGTGGCTAAGCGAAAGGTCTCTCCCCAGGGCTAGATGTTGTAACAAAGATTAGGTCAGAGGCCTTACTTGCCCCATTAAAATGATATTTGAAGACACTCCCCAACCCTACACCACCACCCCCCATCGCGCACCTAAGGAGGGTGACACATGAGGAACTGACAAACTGTAGGAATGGTTAGGGATGGGGATGAGGATCAGAAAAACTTTGAGGTTCTTTGTGCACTCACAAGCTTCTTTCTGTATTTAACATGGATTGACTGTTAAAATAAAGATTTTTTTTCAAGGCAATATGAATTCCTTTAAAATGGCTTCTGTGTTGGACTATCCCCAATAACGACTTAGCAGAGGAGATAGGTGAAGGTAAAAGTTTTACTTTTCCAGAGAACTCAGGCTTCCAGTTACCCCACAGCTCCCCTCCTTTTCTCTCTTCATCAGACTTCATTTGGAGTATTGTGTTCAGGCTTCTAAGCACCACAATTTAACAAAGGCATTGATAAATACATGAGAAGAGAACAACCAAGATAGTGAAAGGCCTTGTGTCATGACACGTAAGGACAGGTTAAAAGAACTGGACACATTTACCCTGAAGAAGAGAAAACTCAGTGGGGAGGGGAGCCGTCTTCAAACATCTGAAAGACCATCATCTGGGGATTGGATTAGATCTGTTCTGTTTGGTCCCAGAGGGCAGAGCCAGGAGCAGTGAGTAATCAATCAGTGTACAGAAGCCACTTCAGCCTTGATGGCATGGCCCAGAAGTGGAATGGCCAGCTTGTCCACGCGCCAGGCCCCTTCTCTGAGGTCTTCAGGCAGAGGCTGGTCAACCACTTATTAAGTATGCTCTGGTGGAGATTCCTTTCACCGATGCACCAGACTCGTGGCCAGTTCCAACTCTCAAATTCTGTGAATGTTACGATACTATAAAAAATGGAGAATTTGAAGAATACTAAGAGCTATGGAAAGACAAAGTAATACAAAGCAAGGTCAATGGATTAAGAAGACAATTCACACACACCGATTGCAACTATATATATATTTTTTAAAACAACAAAGGCAGCATACCTCAATCTTAAGTACACAAACTTATTTAGGAGGACAGAGTAAATGTGTTGTTATTGTTCTTATTTTGTGCTGTATTTTTTGTCATCAAAATGTGAATACTTTGAATTATTTGGAGACTGGCTCCAGATTGGCTTTATTTATTTATTAGTATTTGCTTAGTTCTTAAATTTGATGAGGGAGAGCTATTTTTACCTCTTTGCCTTTCGGGTGCTCCCAGAACTCTGATTCTTCAGAGATTGTGGCATCCCATGACTTAGAGATACACACCATAACTGGAAGAAAAAATGAGCCTTTCTTCCAGGGAGATGCTTACAGTCAATAAAAGCTCTACATCTATGAACCCCAAGGAGGTCATCAACTGAAAAAGGTCCCATTCACACCAATATATTATAGCAGCGCTTTCACAGCAGCAAAGAACTGGGAACAAAGTTGATGTCCATTGACTAGGAAGTGGCTAAACAAATTGTAGTGCGTGAATGTCAATGGAATATTATTATGCTGTAAGAAATGACAAATGTGATGAGTACAAAAAAAAGGATGGAAAGACTTAAATGAACTGATGCAGAAGTTAGCAGAGCCAAGAAAAAACTATGCACAATGACTTCAACAATATAAATAGAAAGAACCACCACAAAACTATCAAAAATGCATTTTTCAAAACTACAAAGACCAAGCATGACCCCAAAGAAGAGATGTAGGAGAATCACTTTTTCCTCAATGCCTTTGGAGAAGTAGGCAGTCCACAGGTATGAGGTAATGGTGAGTTACTCCAGGCAGACATTTTTCAGAGTCTTTACCAAGTGGTAAATATTACAATATTTACAAAATATTATAAAATATTGTAAATGTTGGTGGTAGCAACATCTTAACTGCCTGCTCCCATATAAGTTAGGCTAATTTTTTCATAAAAGTTATTGACAACATCCTCAAGGTTTAATTAACTGCTCCTTGATGCAGGTGGACCACCATGGGCAACTCAGAGGCAGAGAAATTTCATTCAACTGAATTGATCCAAAGTACCTTCAATGCATGTCCCTGTTAAATATCCTTCCACTGCTATGGATAAATAAATCTACCTTTATTAACAGTTGAATGACCTATAGATATCTTGTTTCACCCAAGTATCAGTCTTAAATTACCAGAAGACTGACCTAAGTCAAGCCCAGCCCAGAATACAGCATTTCCCCTTGCTTCTGCAAAAGTGAGCTTATCCCCATTCAATAAAAGTTATTTTTGCTACCACATTGTGGTTCTCACTGTCCCAGTACTCCCATCATTTGAACCTCAGCTTTCCATGGGCTCCAACATCTTTTTCAACATTTTTTTTATTTTATTAGGTCATAGGGAGTTATTTTTCAAACATTAGAGAGGTAATCAATTCCTCTTAACTATCTTCCACCATTTAATAGCAAACGTTTTCTAATTAGATAATCATGAGGTATATCTATGTGCTAGCAAAGCCAAGAAATGAAATGCAGTGCACGCACAAAACTTGTGTATCCTAGTAAAATTTATTGAAGAATATTTTATAGCCAACCAAAGCCTCAGAAGAAAGGTCAAAGGCCAAAGACACAGGTACTGTGGGAGGTTATCCAGGAATTTCTAAGAAGTATATATCTTATTTCTGGTTTAAAGATTGTTCCATGAAGCACTAGCATCCCCAGACCAGTAATTGAGAAATAATGGCACAAAAATGGCTCTCCACCTTGCCATTAATATATTAATAGCTAATATTTATACAGCATTTTGAGGTTTGCAAAATGACATATATGTATATAGACATATAAGCTTATATGCATATATTTATGTGTGTGTTTGTGTGTAGGTGTGTGTGTGTGTGTGTGTATATTGTGTGTATAGATTGTTGTTCAGTCATTTCAGTCATCTTCCACTCTTCATGACCCCATTTGGGGTTTTCTTGGCGAAGACACTGGAGTGGTTTGCTATTTCCTTCTCCAGCTCATTTTACAGATGAGGAAACTGAGGGAAACAGGGTTAAGTGACTTGCCCAGGGTCACACAGCTAGTAAGCATTTGAGTTTGGATTTGAACTCAGGTCTTCCTAAGTCCAAGCCCAGTGCTCTATCCACTGTACCACTGAGCTGCCCATATAGATATAGATACATGCATATATATGTGTGTATATATATATATATATATATATGCTCTGTACGTGTCTGTGTGTGTGTGTGTGTGTGTGTGTGTGTGTAGTCTCATCTCTTACATGTTTTGATACTTCACTTTTCAAGAGAGTCTAAATATAGGAGTTTTTAGTGTTTAGTAACCTTCTTAGCGTTATAGACCAAAAAACTTTGTCAGTCCTACGAAGTCTTTAGACCCCTTCTCAGAATAAGGTTTTTAAAAACATAAAATAAAATACACAGTATAACAAGAAACAAATTATGTTGAAATAGTTATAAAAATAATTTTTAAAACAAGTTCACAAACAGCAGGCTGAGGAATCCTGTTCTAGAGTAAGTGGTTGGTAAGGAAACACAGGATTATCTGTTATTTTTGTTCCCAAATTTATTTATTGAGAACTTTGAGCATTATAATTAGTCGATGGAGTAAAAGAGGGAGAAAATAAAGAGGGGAAAATGACTCTGGCTCATCCCACAACTGACTTTGCACTCTTATTATTCACTACATAGAAACAGGAGCTGTTCTCATGGCCTTGGATTGGGGAAAACATTCTTATCTGTGTATTCTAGATCTAAGAGCAGCAAATAGCAACAAAGAAAAGAAATAAAGATACCACTATGTTTGTGCAAGACCTGAATTTCTGAGTTAACTCTTGATGTTCCCAAGCATATACAGATTCCAAAGCATACTCTCTATATTGGTATAGTAAAACAGTTAGCATTCACTCAAGAATGTTGTTCAATAGGTATATATTAGGGTCTTGCTCTTATGAGATGGATATACAGGCAAATGCAGGGGGCTACAAAAGACTACCAAAACCCCATCTTCCATCTACCCATTTTTCATTAAAGTCATCCTATTTGTTGATTTAATTTTGAGTCTTACAGAGTTGTCATATTTCTCTACAATAGATGCTGGCCCACAGGTTGCAAGTATTCTCATGGCAGTCTTTACGCAAATACTGATCATAAGCTCGGTAAGATGACCTCATGAAGTTTCCCAGGAAGTCATGTTTCTTGTTACCTTTCGATACACAATAAAACCAATCTTTATTTGCCTCTCCAGAGAGAACCCATGACTCATCCTTCCATTTAATGACAACTTCCTTTTGTTTTTTGGCTTCATTTCTTGTGAGAATATCAAAACCAATATGATTCAGTTTTTCCAGTCATAGGTATACATCTTGGTTATGAGACAAGAAACTCATACATATATAGTACCAATAATTATTTTAATGATTATAGTCCAAAAGCTGTTTGAGTCTTAGTACCTTAAATGCTCCACCCCACTCCTTCCATCTTTCTGCCACCAAAACTGCAGAAGCAAAAGGGGGAATGCACTGGACTCAGGGATATTTTATATTTGTCTTTGTGTCATGGGTTAAGTCCAAACACCAAGCGGTCAGCCTACTGATGATAAGGCCTTCCATACTTAGCTTGTTTAGCCCTTGTGAAACAGACAGGGTCTGTAGCTAGAACCACACATAAACACAAAATAGACCATGAAAAGTATATAAAGAGGGAACTACTAACTATATAGGAGTTCTCAGAGGAAAAAAAAAAAATTAAAAACTGTAAAGATTCCAAGGCTTCATTGAAGGGGTAGCCTTTCCTCTCTGTCTTGAAGTATGAGTTATTCAATTCAAGTCCATCCAATACATTATCTTTTCAAAACATATCCTCTTCTCTGCTCCCATGGGCACCATCCTAGTTTGGACTCTTCTCTCAGTTCACCCATGCTATTGCAATAGTCTCCTGGCTGCCCCTCCCCGCCCCCCTTGCCTCCATTCTCTCCTTGACTTTGAACTACCCTTCACGAAGCTGTCATGACGACCTTCCTAATGCACAGGGCTGAACCAGGCCCCCCACCAGAAATCTTCATTAGCCTTCTATCACCCAGAAAATAAAATGCTTCTGAGTCTGGCATCTA